CAAGATATGTGTAGAAAAGAGAAGATAATGGTCATCAAACCTTGACGACCGTCCTAATTACTTTGAGCCATTACTGCCGGTTCGTGCATAAGCCAACACAAACAGGCACATACACATATAGAGACAGACACACTCATAGGCTTCCAAGTTGACATATGACCATGACTAACCAAATCACTTTATACCTCGTCAAAGGCAAGATATAGAGTATGCATGGAGCTTTTTAAGGATTTGCCGATGAGTTGCTTGACTCGTTAGCTTGAATTTGGTCGTACCGATGATAACTTGCTCTGATGATGTTCGTCATATGATGGACGAAAGATGAGCACCTTTTCGCTGGAATCGAAGGAGATTATCTCGGAAACAGCGTCAACATAAATGTTCCAGTAAAGCCAATCAACAGCTGGTCAAGAGGAATCCGACATCGATGTTAAAATCTCTTCACCAAACACTTTCACTCAAAATGAAAGTAGGCTCAACCATCTATTTGTGCCTTACCCTCTTTTCTCACTCCCGCCCTATCACAACTTGTCACTTTTTTACATTCTACTCTTCAAAAGGCACTTTTTGACAAGTTTAGTGATGTGTCATCCGACCTGCTGTTTACATTGCCCATCCTCTCTTTCGAGTGGCTGACCCGAACGGAGCCTAATATCCGGACCTCTCTCATGGGCCCGTAGACCCGTTCCTTATCTTTCTGGTTTGCCGATTTCATTTGCTTCTAGCCCGTCAACGTTTTACTCCAGGAGCTATTTTTAAGCCTCCAGTAGCTCGTAAAAGTCGACTCAGCTGTACAGCTCATGGGCTCTCATTCTCATGCTTTCAGACATTTGGTATTGCCTTCACTGGCCGAGCGGATTTCTAGTACATTTTGTCATTGTGTCGAATTTTTGTGCTAGTTGTGATTATCTGTCAGCCTAGGCACGCGGCCGCCAGGCCATAAAGTAGTTTAATCAAAGGTATGAAGACCAAGATGGTGTGGCCTTTTGTGTGGTGGTAGTCTACTTTCGTTGTATAGAAGTTGTTTGACCGTCTTTTCGCAACTTGGTAATATTGGTAGAAAGACTTAGAGCAACGCACCTTGTCCTGAGTCCATTGTATGCATCATCATTTCCAAAGTCGGACCGTGGACGTGGTACATTCCCAGACGTTTCGCCGTGTCAGTGAGTTTTGCCATTTGTAGCACCATATTACAACTCGTCAAAGAGACAAATGAAGCCGATCCTTTGACCAAACGTGTGCTATCTCCCCTTCTGCCCTGGCCTATTCACATTTCCTATATCCTCCTATCACACCTTCACTGTCTGGGCGATGTTGCTCTTATTCTCAGCTTTCAGTTACATTCTCCTGCAGAGCCCATGAGGTTCCTTGACTCGTATGCTGATTTTTTTAACCTGTTTTGTCATTCTATTTCTGCTCACAGGTGCAGCATGCTGTGCAGTAGACTCCTGAGCAATTCAATTTGTCCATTCTTTCACGTTGATTGGGTAGACTTGTGAAGGGTGGTCATCGGAGTATCCCATTTTCTTAATATTGGCCGTAGTTTTTAGACTAGTTCACAGGAAGGTAGGCTTATCCACTTTTGTAAGTCTTCCTCCTTCCTTACTGTTCTTTCATACTCTCCGTTGTGACATAGCCTTAACACGGCCAGTATGTTTCTTTGTTTTACCTATTTGCGTATCCATTGCCAAGGCAATCTTTTGCATTCATTATCCCAGAATTCAACGTCCGTTAATCGTTGGCTTCTCATTAAAATGCTCCTCGGTATTTCTTTCTTCAGTCTGCAGTCGAAATGAGATTTGAAAGTGAGTATTATTCCAGCATATGACTTCTTTCTTAACAAATTCCTCCTGAGCGTTCCACTAGAGCGAATTAGTTCAACATCCAGCAAAGGTAAAAGCCCCTCCACTTCCATTTTGAACTTCATTCTTTCATCAATCTCGTTCGTAAACTTTGCAAAATCTTCCTCTTTTTGACTTGTGTGTGACCAAAGTGTGAAGTAGTCGTCCAGTTACTGCACGAACACTCCTGGTTGTAGCCGTGACATCTTGAAGGTCGTTTTTAATTTGTTCATGTATACGCTTGCCAAAAGAGGTGAGAACGGCGATCCCATAGGAAGTCCAAATATTTGTTCATAGATATTACCGTTGAA